GAAGTCCACAGCTAAATTTTCGAAAAACAAAAAATTTAATAGAACCATAACCTGAACAGAAACAAGAATTTAATGACAAAAATGGAAAATAAAAAACGATTTACACAAAGTGTTTTGCCATAACATGATTATCGGAGTACATTTCTGTCATGAATTTGGCAAAATCGTATGTCATCATCCAAACATATGCTATAAACTTGAGAAAATAGCATGTCATAGTCCAAAAATCTGGAAAATTGATTTTTTTTAAAGTCAAGAAATCTGGAAACGGAATTTTGAAATAGAAGTCCAAAAATCAACAAATCTAATGTCAAAACTAAAACCACAGAGGAATAGAGGGAAAATCAGTTTCAAAGCAAAAAAAAAAGAATAATAGAACGAGGAATAGGAGGAGGAGGAGGAGGAGGAAGAGGAAGAAGAAGAAGAAGAAACCTGACCAAACGGTGGCGTGCGCGCGGTGGAGTCGGCGGTGGCGATGGCTAAGGATGAAATCGACGACGGCGTACAGACAGTGTGGTGAAGATGATAGATCTAATGTGCAGAGATGGAGCAGGCAATCGATCTACTATTGAATGGAGAATAAATAGATTGAAGAAGGGATATAAATAGATCAGCTATGCTATGGAGAAGGAATAGATTGAGAAGAATTGGAGATGGAGAATGGTGCGCACGAGAGAGGGATAATGTTCTGCGCAGAAGAGTTTCTCGATTTATTAAAGAGGGGAAAAGATGGGATGAGAAATTACATAGGTTTTAAAATAGGAGTAATATGATCTCATTTCGGGAATAAAATAGATATGGTCCTATTTAAGAATTTCTCCCTTCTTTTAGTCCTATATGGGACAATTACTTAATAATTAATGGGACATCCTCGGAGCCCCTCTACAAACTGCCGGCCACTCCATGTATTTCCCCTCTTGCTTCTGCTTGTTGTATTATGACACTCAATCCCTCCACATTTAGAATAATAAATAAGGCGAAAGTGGGTCCCATCGCCTAAACCTCTCCCCGAAATAATCGGTCCCAAGCGAAGAAGTCTTTGTCAAATTGGATGTAATAGCTAACAGTAGAGACACATTCCATGACAATATCTACTCATATGCTGCTGAACCCCGTGTGCAACATCACCAGATAATCCTATCATAAGCCTTGCTCATATCCAGTTTTAGTGCCGCATAACCCTCCTTTCCATGACATTTTCTCTTTAAATAATGTTGGGTTTTGAAGGCCACAGTTATTTTATCTACAATCAATCTTCCTGAAATAAAATCACTTTGATTTCTCCCTACCAGACAACCCAATATGCATGTCGGCACTCCAACTGATTGCCACCACGCACCATGTGACACTCTCATCTTTGAGCCAGTTATTCTCGAACTTAAACCTTCCCAGTTTTCTCCCATGAACGGTTGGGTGCACCTTAATCCACAGAGTCATATGATCACTGACCAGTGCCTCAATTGATGACGCCTGAGCCTCCATAAATATGTTCCACCAAACATCATTTACCAAAATTCGGTCTAATTTTTCTTCGATCCAATTTGGGCAACTTTTACCCGGCTCCCATGAGCACCGGTACCCGTCAAAAGGAAAATCCTGTAATCCACTAGCCAAAACAGTTTCCTTAAACCTTCGCAGCCGCCATATGGGACGAGGAATTCTGCCCTTCCCCAATTCATTCAAAATATCATTGAAATCATATCCCTTACTACCATCCATGGTAGAGTGTTGTTCTCTGTCAGTCCCCATAACATCTTGCATGTTGCCCTTCGCCTACTGGACTCTAAAAAAGCATAATAGCAGGTGTGGGTGTGAGAGAAACGAGCAACCATTATTGAGGAATTAATGCTGTATTTTATATTTTTAATACTCCGTATATTAATTAGAAAGAAATTACCATGGATAAGAGTAAAACATAAGACTTAAGCAAAAAGAGGAGCGTGTCTTTCAAATTCCCTAAATAGGAGTTTCAACCGGTATTTAATTCCAAAGTATGAGTTTCAATTCCAATTTTACCCCTACTCACATTTAATTTTGTTCGCTGTTTTCTTTCCGTCACGCAACCTCCCAATCTGACCGCCCCACTTCTCTCCCTCTCTCCTCCCATCCCCTCCCTGCTCTTCCATCACGTGTCCCCTCCCAACCTTTCTCTTTCTTATCTTATTCCTCGACTTTCTTCCCTCACCCCTCATTTGATATCTCCTGCAATTCATCTAGCATCTCATGTCCATTTTATAGATGTAATGACATCACCATTTCAGATGAGTTTTTAGATGGCGAACGGATTTTATACCCATCCCCGGCGAAATTGAGTAATGAAATCAAGTGTGGTCAGAAATTTTTGGTATGCCTCCTTTTTCTTTTTTCTCCTCTTCTCCTTCTTCCTCCTCTTCTCCTTCTTCATCCATCTGTTATTTTGTTTCCTTTCGATTTTTTTTTTTGTCATTTTCCATTAATAGTTTTATTTAATAAATGCTACGTAGTATTTTGGATCTGGAATGTATTATTTTATTTAAAAAAATGTCCTTTTTTATTATTAGTGTTCGCAAGAAAATGTCCATCATTTGAAAATTGAAATTTATTTAATTTTATATTGTTAATTTTGAAATTAATTAACTTGCATCTAAAAGATTTGACTATTATTTATTAATAAAAAATTGTTAGATTTCTTTTTTTCTGTCAATTTTGATCAAATTATTTTAAAACACAAAGATTTCTATTTCTAATCATTTTAAATATGGAAATGTCATAATATCTCTTTCTATTCGAACATTGCTTTGAAAGTAAAGTCATTTCTATGGATTTACATAGCTAGTATCATTTTAACTCAATTGGCAAACAATGTCATTTTTACTGTAATAGTGTCATTTTTAAGTCACTTAGCAAACAATGCCATTTTACGGTAATAGTGCCATTTTAAAGGCAATATTACATATAATGTCATTTTTTATATCCACAAATGCCATGTTTTCGTTAAAAAAATATCCATAAATGCCATATTTTTTTCCAGAAAATGCCAAAATTTTTCTAGAAAAAGCCATGATTTTTAATCTCAAAATTCTGTCTTGGGATATTCAGATGTTATACTAGTCATTACAATTATGAAGATGACAATCAGACTGGAGCATGACAACAAACTTGCCACTGGATGTGACAGTCACACCAGTCCACCACATGTTTGACCGATTCCGACATACCCCACAAACACAGGAGATCCACTGCAGTCTTCCAGAAGAGGCGGCAGACGGCGGCGAAGTGATGGACGCGGCTACAAATGCCCGACGGCGGAAGAAGTGGCGGTTTGGATTTTGATGAGGCGATCAACGGCGGCAATTTGGGACGATGTGGCTGCCGGCGGCGCCACCGCCGTAGAAGACTGCAACCACGATCTAGGGTTGTAGTGTGGAGTTCCATCACCTCATGTTGCCCCCCACCTATTGTCTTTATTTTTGAAAGCCCACTTGTTATCTTTTTTTTAAAATCCCACGTGTTATGTATTACGCCGTATGAATGTATGATTTGCTTTCATTAAGGGTATTATGGTCAGTTTCTTTTAAAACTTCCGTGTGAAACATACGTAACTCATAACTCATAAGACTCCTATTTTGGCATGCTTTCTATGTTTTACTCCCATATTGGGAATTCTCTCTTAATTAGATGTATTCACTAAGGGTACTTTTTTCAATCCATTCCTTTTTACTCCTATGAAACTATGCCTATAAGTGAGCTCCTAATTGTGCACTTTAGTTATGTTTTACTCCTAGATGAGGAATTAACTCTTTTAGGAACTTAGGTAGTTTTAATTTGGCTGAGGGTCCACGATGGTTCGAGAGAATATATAGGTAGAACGGGAGAAGTACTGTAGAACAAATAATAATGTCTGCTATAATGTACTGGATTTAATTGTAAAGCATCATATTCTTAATTTTTGTGAGAGAACTTTTAGTTGAACTACATACCATATGTATTTGAACTTAGGACTAACAGTAACTATAACGCCCCAATTCTTGTTCAAACTGGCTAGCAAATGCCCCTCCTTTCTAAAACAAATAAACTATATTTGGCAAAACGACATAGAACTAGACATTAATCAGGGCCGGCTATGAATATACTCCCTAGCTCCGTCCCAAAATTAACTTCTCACTTTCCTTTTCGGGCAGTCCCGAAATTAACTTCACACTTCAAAAATTTCCTTATTTGGCAAATAATCTACACAAAAAAGTGTCAAACAGTGCCAAATAGTATCAAACAGTGTCCAAACAGTGTCAAACAGTGTTTAAACAGTGCAAAACAATGCACTCCACAGTAAAGTCAAATTTATTTTCTTAATCTGTGTGAAGTCAAACTGAGAAGTTCATTATGGGACGGAGGGAGTATTCATTAGGTTAATTAGAATGGGCCCCACTCTACACGAGGGTCCCACTTAAAATGGGGCCGATACTTTTTAAAAATCAATAGACAAACAAAAATAGTAGTAGTAGTATACTAGTATTAGTGTATGTAGACTAGTACTCTAGTAGCACTAATAGACAAATCATTTATGGAGTAATATATAAATGAATAGGATTACCCGTAGCTGGTAAATCGTTCTCCTTAGAATAAGTATTCTCATTCTCAATTCAATTTAATTAACTGGTGGCTATTTTTATAGGAAATTGGGGATTGTAATATATGGAGTCGTGACAATTAATTATCAAAGCCGCATAAAAATTCAAAACTTTATTTTAAAAGTGTTAGAAACTAAGTCCACATATCCGAAACATAAATAAGATTATTTCATTTTTCCTTATGAAACAAACATTTAAATTAATTTGAAGTACTTTATAATGTAGTTTTATCATTTTTACTTATTATATCGGGCCACAGAATAGGGTCTCTCACACATGCATCCATTTGATGGTTATTATACTAATGTCTGAATTAGGTGTTATTGTGAGAACAGACTATTGTAACAATAAATAATTGAACACATAATAATCAAACTCTTCCCATATTATTTTGCGAAACTCTAAATAATTCATTTCATCATGTTCATATTGATGAATAAGAATCGTGCATCACCATATCAATCTTGGTATTCGTAATGCACATTATAATACGGAGTACAAGATTAAAGTTTTCTCTACCCAGTTATGAATATTCGATCAGAAAAGTACTCGTAATAGACTAACAAGATACATTTACATAGCTGTAATCAAGTGTTTTGCATGTGTACGTATTTCTAAACGCTAATCAAAGATGTATGATAATATCTCACAAAACTCATCATCGGTCATTGTCTCTTCGTTGACTTTTGTCCCAGTAACACATTCTAATTCCATGGAACCCGTTGCACAAACTGGTGGCCGATAGTGTCCTTGGTCTGAAGGGCATGAGAAGCTTGTAGTTATACTTTTGTTTTCAAAATAGTCTTTTGAAGAAGACGGTTGACCAATAATCGGTGGTTTTTGGATAAAAGAATTCGCACTTATAGAATTAATGGGTGTTATCACAATGGAATCGGAGTTTGGTGCGCTGATAGAAGATGATGACTTTCGCTTCCGTTTAAGCCGAGGATTTTGGATACAGTCTGTGTTTGGAAGTTCATCAATAGTGAAATTTGAAACTTCTCCATCATCATTGCGGCTGCTTGCTTCCGATCCTCCCTTTTTATGATTATAGTAGATTACGCATAATGCCAATTTATGAGATGCCTGCATTTGAAAACCTTCATATTATTTTCATGAAATCAAGATTCTGCATAAGGAATAATTTATCATTATTGTTATTCCTTTAATTTTAAACTCAATTAATTAATTAATCATATTCACTAAACACAAGTACTTGAAGGCTGAAGCTAGCTAGTTACGTTTTGCATGTACTCGTGTTTTACTACGTCTAAATAGTTGTTTTCATTTCTTATCTAACAAAAGATAAAGTCTTAACTAATTAGTTTATAATTTACAAATTGAAGTATTCCTCGCGTGTAAAATCTGACCCAAATAATTATAAAAATGTTATCATTTTCTTTTTGAGTTGTCTCATAAAAATTTCCTTGTTTCATTATTTCACAAAAAATATACTACTTGTATGTAGTTCATATAGTTTCATATATTGTTTCAACTCAAATTTCAATCATATTTTTACAATTTCAACTACTTTATTAATAAGAGTGTTACTAAACAAGACAATTTGTTTAGGACCAAAGTAATTTATATAGTCATATATATAACCATAAGTCTATTAGGTTCATTCATTTAAAAGACGTACACATAAACAAATAACAGAACCAAACCTCTAATTAATAAATAGCCGTGACTTGCAAAATAGGATTTCTTTTTCATAATATGTGTACTTGATTAATTATATTGTTGCTTCCAATTACTACATTTACCACGTCTAAATTGATGAATTACGTAATTTGCTAATTATATGTTCATTAATTGTCTACGTTGCTCCATGTACATTTTAACGACATAACACAAAACAGCATAATATTAAGATTATTAAAGAAATTAACATTTTGAAAGGGTTAATTGTTGGTTTTTTGAAACATACCTTATTATTATATTCTGATTCATCAAGAAACCTATACTCAGTCATGAGCCATGATGTTTTGCCCCATTTTGCTGTATGATAAACCAAAGATTGCTTCGTGCCAATTTCTTCATTTTTTGAGCTTAGGACTGTGTCTCTTTTTTGAGTAGCCTTCCAACAACCCTTGCGGCCGGCGACGACCCTATCGCCTCTCGTTCCACTACCGTCTTTGTTCTTCATCTTCAATGGAGAGAAGAAATACATTCTCCCATTGCCATGATCAAAAGCAAAATCTGCATATAACAATATTAAATACATATATGTCTGAAACTCTGAAAGTATTAGGTATATATATAGTCATGGACTCAGTTCCAGTCGGGTACGGTCCAATTCAATTTCGGTCCCAGTCTGGTCAGTCTCGTGAAAAAATTACCGAGGACTAGGCCCGACCCGGGTATTTAGGGATAGCAAAATCTGCATATCACATATTCACATGCATGTATTACATGCATGCATGTATGCAAGTTCATGTGTTTCGGTTCAAATAAAATGTGTTCTAATTAAGTTTTGATTCTATATACTCACTATATATATAGTGCACAATTGGTGTCAAGGAATGCAGATTAAACATGATGGTAAATTTTTACTACGTATTATTTATCGAATTAATTGCATTGTTGCATAGTGCTTAAAGCCATTGGATCTTAATGATATGGTAATGCATCACATATATTTTTTATTTTTCATGCGAAAAAACTTTTTATTTGGACCTAGCTACATACGGAGTATATAACTGAACGTAGGACTAACGTACGGAATTATAATGTCCCAATTCTTGGTCAAAAATAAATAAATGTCCCTCACCTCTTAAAAAATAGGAAATAATTTAAAAAATAAAACTTTATTTTTAGCTTTGCTGATTATTATTTTACGAAGCTCTAAAAAAATCATTTATTCATGGTAATTCGTAGTACTAGGATAAATTCATCAATTAAAAAGTGCCACTCCGTAACACGAAGTATATATCATTATATTCTCCAATGGATAAAAGTGCAATGATAAAAGAATATAATAAGATTTTGAAGATTCGATCAGACTCGTAATAATAATTAAAAACTCAAATATTTATAATTCTCAGAATTTTTAAACACATCTTTGTTCCCTATTAGGATATTGTTAAGACCCCGGTGTGGGACAAATGCTTTAACACGACTCCTTAGTCTGAACAAGCTGAAAAATATCGGGGTATATAAACGGGCCAAACAAACCCTTAGCAAGCTACCCATAATCATGTGTGTTGAACAAGCAATCAAACCATGACCGGAATTGATTCTGATATCATGTCATGACCCGGACTTTTATCTAAAAGATGAACCTAATATAGGAGAAGTAGTCCAATTCATAACATTTTTACTTTGGATTCAACAAGTATAACTGATCACTACATTTTCAAAATAATACTAATCATGATAATAGATTAAATACTTCTAATAACACATATACTACATAAAATACTACTCATAAATCCCAATTAAAGTTTTAATTAATGTTTCGAACGACAGATAAAATATGTATACTATAGAAAATATAATAAAGCTAACCTTGAAGTTGGTGGGGTTCATATTTATAAATATCAAGATCGGAGATAATCCCAGAATGAAGTTTCAGGTTTAGAGATTTGGGTAAGAGATAAAAAGTGATGAGTTCTTCATCCGTCGGGATAAAAGCCATTCCCGGCGGAAGATTTTTCTTCCACCCGTATTCATCTTCTTCCTCTTTACTGCAACTAATACCTTCCAAACTTCGGCAGGCCATGCCTACGTCCGAATTGAGGAGAGATGAAAAAACAATTAAAGAAGCTAGTATAGGTTTCGAACACTAAAGAAGCTAGGTTTAAGGAATTCTATAATTAGACACTATTTGATCATATATATACTTATTAATTATACTTTCTTGGCACGTAATAGGTTCCTACTCCTACTCGATCTATCATTTACTGATTTACAAAAGGCTCCACTGATATTAAATTAGATATATGTGTTTAAAGATAAGGTTATACGAAGTGCAATTAATAAATAATACAAAAAGAGTGGCCGTATATGCATTAATTAGCACTTCTGTTAATTGCGCTATGCGTTAATTATTATCCGGCCTTGGTTAGATTGGATTCTAAATCGCCCGAAGAGTAGTTGTAATAACTAATAAGTCGGTGGTACTAGGGTGGGTTCGGTTCTTGCGGTTCGGTTTTGACCTAAAACCAAATATAGAATCAAAGTAAAAAGTTCGGTTCGATTTCGGTTCGGTTTTACACTTCACAACTTGGAACCACGGTTTGATTGGTTCGGTTTGTTTCAATTCGGTTTCGGTTTTTTCGGTTTTTTACCAAAAAAATATGATTTGATTTAAAATTGATATATATAATACTTTGAGAGATCAAACATATATTACATAAAGAATGCAAGCACACTACAACAAATAAAATAAAAATGAAAATAAATTAATATGTCATGAATTATATGAGTATGCGAGAGAGATAAAAGTATATATATTATTAATTTACAATGTTTGTGACTAGTTCAAAAAAAAGTTCTATGTGATATAGTTGAGATGAATTTTTATTGTTTCATCAATACTTTCTATGTGATATAGTTGAGATGAATATTTATTGTTTCATCAATATGAATTCTTTAAGTTAAATAAAAATAAAAGTTAATTAATACTAATAACTAGTAAAAACATATTATCAGTATAACCATATTATTACGGGCAATGAATGTGTAAATGAATTCATAAACTAAACTAAACATAACACAAACATTATTTCTCTAGCACAAGAAACCCAAAGACTAGTAATCATATTAGGATTAGTTAGGATTAATGCTTAACAATTGACAAATAAATTTTATATTTTAATTAGTTCGGTTTGTTCGGTTCGGTTCGGTTTTGAAGGGTAAAAACCAAAATCGAACCAAACAACTACGGTTCGGTTCGGTTTTTTACATTCGGTTTCGGTTTGTTAGCGGTTCGGTTTTATTTGGTTACGGTTCGGTATGATTTGATTCGGTTTTCGGTTTTCAGTTTTTCGGACCCAGCCCTAGGTGGTACACAAATTCTAGAAGTTTAATTACAAGAAAGGGTGGTATCAGAACGTAACAATTTTTAGGAGTGCAACAAACTTACATGTGCAACAAACTTACATCATTTAATTTACATTGTAATTAAAATAGAAACAATGGCTCAAATATGATTGCTAGAGTTTTACTCGACCAAAATATGAGTGATTTAAATAAAGACCCAAAAGTGATTAACTGTATCCCTCTTCACGCTCTACGACCTAAGCACAGGAATCAACACTCGCACATCGCGTGCTTTTCTTTCCTTCTCGTTGACCCCAGCCACATCCCTCAGCTGCGCCGTCGAGCTGGTTGCCACCGCCCTCAGCTACGCCGCCGACCTCACCACCATCTTCAACCTCGTCGTTAACCACAGCAGTTGTCCGTGACCCATCTGTCGCCCTCCCCTGCTGCAAGCCAAATTTCAGATCTAACTGTTAGTGTTCAATTTGAGGGCAGCGACGGCGGAGCGTTTGTGATTTAAGGCAGCGACGCGGTGGTGGTTGGCTGGCGCTAGAGTTACGACACTGTTGGTGGGCTGGTCTGGAGGTAGGGGCTAGTGGGGACCGACGGTTGGGTGGTGCAGCGACGGTGATGACGAGCGGCGACGGCGAGGATAACTGGACAAGCATCGGCTCTATTAAACCATGGCACCGCCATTGTTGTCTAACTTTGTTGCCTTATATTCGAAGCCTGTTTCTTCTCCTTCTACTTTTGTTCGAGCATCGCCGGAATCAACAGATTTCCAAGTTGCAGATCTGCTTGGAGCGGCGGCGATGTAGATCTGTGACGGTGGCTGGGTTAGGTTTTAGGGGTAGTGGAGGTGGCGTTGGTCGATGGCACAGCTGGGGTGGAACAGAGGTGCTACGAAGTTGGGAACTTAGAGTAGGGGCTAGGGTGCGGCTTCGCTAGGTGGGGCTGGGTGCGGATTTGCTGGGCGGCGCTCAGGTGGGGATAGGCTGTGGCAGGGGATCAGAGGAGGTTGGGTAGACGAGGGAGACCAGGAGAGGGTCGGGGGTATGGTAGGGGCAGTAGGTGTCCCATCCGTTGCAGCGGTGGGCGGCAGTTTCACTGAACGGAAATTGCGGAGGATGATAACATTTCACCGGGAAAAGCCGTCGGAAAAGTCGTTGTAAAAATTTTCCGGTGACATAGTGACATGGTTAACGGCACAGTGACACATTTGGCGGCGATAGTGACATATAAAAGTAACATAAAAACCGATATTGACATTCAATAGTGACATAAAATCGCAGTGACATAAATTCGATAGTGACGTAATGATTAGTTACAAAAAAATGAACACAGTGACATAAATTTTTGCAGTGACATCATGCTAAAGTGACATGGGCGGAGGCTAAAGTGACATGGGCGGTGGCTAAAGTGACACGGGCGGCGGCTATAGTGACACGGGCGGTGGCTACAGTGACACGGGCGGTGGATGTAGTTACAAAAAAAATGAACATAGTGACATAAATTTTTTACAGTTACATCATGTTTTCTAATTGCACATATATGACTTTCTTGATCACTTTTTTGCCCCTTTTTAAAAGTGGTCACTTTTTGGGTAAATGGTTCAAAATTAGTAATATCCAAGTAAAAACCCCATTAAAATACACTCAAAAGACTAACATTAAACTATTTTAATTTCCCATCCAAGATCAACTTGGCAAAGTTGGGTGAGACGGAGGTGATAAAAAACTTTGGTACATGCACTTATTTTTGGCTTAGGATAATAAGATTGTGTGATGGAATGAAGGATAAATCCAAAAAAGTAAATGTAATAGTGTATTAGTTTTAAAATTATTGAGGATATGATCAAAATGTTTAGGAGTCAAAAGATCATTTAGTAACACTTGAAAATGAAAAGTTAGCCTTGATGTTATAGAGTAGTATAAAGGCAAAGTCATACGAAGTACAATTAAATATGGCCGCACATGCATTTAGATCCATCTTTTGGTCTATGTTCTTTCCTTGTTCATCCGCATCCAGCCTATCATTTGTTCTCATAGGTGTAGTCATGGTTTTGCCTTCACTCATCTTGTACTTCTTTAGTAGTTCCTTGAGGTACTTTTGTTGTGATATTTGAGTTCCTTGGCTAGTTTGCTTGATTTGTAGTCCGAGGAAGAAATTTAATTCCCCCATCATGCTCATCTTAAATTCGGAACTCATAAGAGACGAAAACTCAACACAAAGAGAATGGTTAGTGGCACCAAAAATAATATCATCAACATAAACTTGATCAACCAGTGGGGCTTGATCTTTTATTTTTAGAAAAAGGATTTTATCTATTTTTCCTCTTTCAAAACCATTTTCCAAAAGAAACTTAGATAGGCGCTCATACCAAGCACGAGGTGCTTGTTTGAGCCCACAAAGTGTTTTATCTAGTTTGAAGACATGATTAGTAAAATCTCGATTCTCAAAGCCCGGTGGTTGTTCTACATATACCTCTTCCTTTAGATAGCCATTCAAGAAGGCGGTCTTGACGTTCATTTGGTGGAGGGTGAATGGTGCTTTCATACGGCGGGAGTCATTGGTTCGAATCCAATAGTAGGTAGAACAACTTATTAGATACCATCCACTGAGATATCTAATAAGTTTGTGACCCATCCTTTTGAATATAGATTCCACTTACTTGAGATTGCACTTGTTATACAAAAAGGGCAACAATTTCATCTTAACAATTTGCCATAATAAATCCAAGATTTCCCAATGATGCCTCCCCGGATACGTCAACAACCCGCCGTACAATACAAATAGTCGACTGCAGTCCAACTCATTCATATTATACAAAGCGTCTTGAATATCATTCACACATATAACATTCATAAACAAACATAATAAGTAATTCATAATGCAGCGGAAACATTGTTTAAAACAAAAGGGCCACAGAGGGCTATTCATGAGCACGCATGCTCTATAGTAAAATAACCATGAGCATGTTTAATAATATTCAAAACAGAATGGAGAAGGCATGAACCACGTCTTCTCTCCAAACGATCACCCGAGCAACGGGCACAAATAGCAAGCTCAAGCCTCAACCTGAAATGGTGGTGGGACGCCCTCAAAGGGGTCAGTACTCTATACGGTTATAAAGTACTGGTGTGGCAGACATCTAATAGATATACAACAAGTATTTCACACACAAGATCCTCAAATAGGGTGATAATATAGTCTAGGCCGTAAGCCCAAGTTACCCCCCTTTTAAAATATATACTTACTTTATACAAAGTCAAGTAGTCGGCCCGTAGGCCGATGTTTATCACAAAACATATCCCAAATCCTGTGACTACCGGTCACAACAATACATAGGGTCCAACCCTAATACATCCACTTTATATCTACCCATTGCAATTCTAGAGTTCGGGCTCAAGTACATCCCCTTGCATGGCATAGAACTGAACCCTTCGATCATATCATCAATCTCGAATCTCATGTCCACCCAATGTAATTCTAGAGTGTGGGCTCAAGTACATCTCCTTACATTGGTATAGACTCCACATCCTTATATCTACCCAATGCATTTCTAGAGCGCGGGCTCAAGTACATCTCCATGCATTGGCATAGACCCCAATTCCTAAGCACCACTATGCCTAGAATCGTCATAACATTAAGCTATCTTGGGACATCCTATGGACTGCCCCTAACTTGACCTTAGTTCACACTAAATCACAATAGACACTTGAAGTCCATCAAGTTTGTCACAACACAATCCAAACCTTAAGTTTGATTCTATAAACAATTCGAATAATCCTTAACTAGTAATTCACTACTATTAAGATTTATTCGTACAACTCATTTATTCTTAATGGTAGCTGACGTGCACTTTGTCGTGTGTGCACTCAAAGTAAATTCAATACTAACACTTATACGTAGTATAGGTGAAGTAGAGTTCGTATCCACGGGGAAAGGAATAACTCTTCTTTTTATGTAACTAGTAAATAAAGGGGGGGTTTGATCGAGTGATTTGATTAAAATTAAACATGAAGATGAACGAGTTATGTGGTTTAATTCAAAGATAAAAGGGACTTGGTATTGCTACTTTACACTTGTTGATATATTTTAGTCGATCATTGTTATATCTATAACTTATCTCCTCTCGAATACTCAATCGAGAAATATATCAAATTCATCGAGGATAGTTATTAACAACGACCGTTCATTAATAACCCTTACTATTAGTCAAGTATAGAACAACGCCATATACCGACTTGATAGTAGCATTTAATCTTTTAACTCCTTGATGAAATCAATTGAGATTGATAACCTCAACACAACGGTTTCGGTTTAACCAACAAAATTAATCCCTCTTAAGTTTATTAACCACGAACGTGCATTAATAAACCGAAGTTACTTACTTGTGAAACTATCAACGATTAACCATCGGTTCGTTGATCGTTTCTAGTAATAATTAATATGTGAAACAAAACTAGTTGATCCTTTAAGTAATGTTCAAAATATTAATATGAAATATGAATAGGAATTAATTAATACTCAAGGAAGAATATTAAAGAAGATGAATCCTACTATAGTTAATATCAAGATGTTAACTAATTGTCATCTTAGTAACACTCCCCGATATTAACATAGAGGAAGGAATAGCTATTACTAAGACTAATGTCAAGATGTTAACTAATTGTCATCTTAGTAACACTCCCCAACATTGATATAGAAATAGTATTTAAAGGAAGAATTAATATTCAAGGAAAAGAAGTTAAGAAAATAACTCACAACTTTAATAATCAACAAGCTTCAAGAGCAATACCAAGAAATGGAAGTTTAGCTCCTCATTTGGAGACTAAACATGCTAAAAGAAATATAGAGAAATGCTATTCTAAACTGAGCTTAAGAGTATAAAGGAATTGGTATCTAAAAGTGAAGGAAAGGAGGTGTATTTATAGGCTTTTTTGAGGTGCAGGTCGGGTACTCGATCGAGTGTATACATATACTCGATCGAGTATGTGTAGAATGGTGAATTTTGAGCCATACTCGACCGAAGTCGGGTTGAAATTTATATGTATACCCGATCGAGTATGTCGGTGTACTCGATCGGGTATAACAATAGAACGTGGCCAAATCTTTCTGTTGGATAATTGATACCCATATTGTATAAACAGGAGAATTTGAACAATAATCAAGAAGAAATAAAGAGAGAGTATAGAATGAGTATTGGTTATATGAGTTACAAGCCTCCTATAAGGAGTATATATAGGGAAAATCCGGGTCTGGGCCTCTAATATGGGCCTGACAGACCCGGTTACATAAATGGACTGATAGTATAAAAAGCTAATTTAGAACATCTGAATAATAATAATAATAATGTACAATAATATTAATGATATCCGCTAAACGTGTGTAGGCCGCTGTCCGGACCCAGTAGTCGGCATACCGGGGGGTCGGAGTCCATATAATCCATCAGGAGTCCCCCACTCCCTGAGTCGAGAGTACTCGAGGCGAAAGGGAGTAGTCCAAACTGTATCTGCAACGTTCTTCCTCTTCGGCCGGGGGACCACCACCCTTGTCCATTATGGGGAGGTGCCTCGTTAAAAACCTTTACTAGGAAAAACCCAGTGGGAAAAAATCCTAATAAAGGGAAAAAGAGTACACCTAGCGCCCCCAACATGAAACAAGGAAGGTAAATCCCCTCCGGCATAATCAATCTAACTCAGCTCCTCTTCAACTGACTCAGCTCTCGTTCCTGCTCTTGCGTGATGTTTTCTGCTCATCTAGAAACTCTGACCCCTCAGTCCCCCAGTCCCCACTCTTTGAGGCGAGTGGAGACGAGGTGAAAATGAGTAAAGTCATCTTCGTACCTACACATTTATCATACATATAAAAAATTTTCTTGGGATTTATGTTCCCGATCGGGAGTTCGTCACTTGAAACAAGTGGAGATGTGAATTGTTTATGTAATGATAAAATACTTAGTAGAATGGATGTGTGAGCCATTCGTAAGCAACGGTCGCCACTCGAAGAATGACTAAGACCGGTCTTCATACCCGACTTGGTCGGGGTTTTGTCTTCATGCCCGACTTGGTCGGGGCTTTGTGCCTGAGGAGACAGGGCTTTGTGCCTGAGGAGTCAGGGCTTTAAATCCTAGTGATGGGTCTCAAGCCACACTCTACTAGGTATTTGATCATAAGTGCGTGATAGTGTGATGCTCGCCCGACAAAAAATTAATTTAAATAAAAATAAATAATATGAAAATTAAAGAGTACTTATCTTTTTGAAAAGGGGTGAACTATTCAAACTCTTTGGGCTGAAATGTACTGCTGAAATTGAGCCCATTCGCATTAGTTAGTATCAATATTTGGGCTGAAGCAGTCCTGGCCCGAAAACAGCGGCCCATTAAGAGATTTGAGGCTCAATATCTAGTTCCACGTAATCTTGGCCCACTGCTTTCCCTTAAGTTTCCCAGCGGAGCTTTAATACGGAGTAGCTGAAGTAACACTCATGTGCTAGTAGGTCCTTCAAAAGATGTGGGCAGAGTTATTGATAGTTAACAACCCATGTGCTGGGAGACCCTTTCTTCAAACGATACTGACAGGTCTTCTAATAATTGGATAATAGGTGGCCTGCGTTCATCTCCCGTAGCTAACATTAGGTGAGAGCGGTTCTTTCCTCGACGCCGCCGGGGGTCTGGATTAGATCGTCGCCAGCCGCCTACAGTCACTGTCAGCAGGAAGAAAGGAGGGGTCGCTGCTGGGGCTGCGTTGAGGCAGATGTTGACTGGAGCGGGCATATTCTCATCTCCTTCCCTGAGCTTTGAACCTCCATTAATGGCAGATGGAGATCGACGTTTTTTATGACAGGCTGCTTAGCTGCAAGGGGGTCAGACCCAGCGGTGGAACGCCTGGATAAAGCAGGCGACGCTGTGGCAGAGCCCGTACCTGGAGCCCACACTTCGCCGCTTGTGCCGACGCGTCCCAGCTTTGGCTTGCAGGTTGAGTAGCCCGCCATGTGAGGGAGCAACACAGACCGGTCGCGACTGAGAGCTAAGGCCCAGGGGCGTCGGATCTGCGTCGGATTCTCGGCGAAGCAGGGCCCTGTTACAACATCGCCTCTGATGCTTGGTCTAATTCCAGATTCCGGTTGCTTCCTCTGGTCCGTACAGCTCCAGACCAGCTGCTCCATCGGCCCTACAGTTCAGATTCCAGACTAGCTCCGGTCCTACCGCTCTGGTTGACCGACTTTGCTGCCAAAGGAGTTCCAGATCTCATAATTTCTTCTGGATTTTTCAATTTCTTGTAAAATGGAACCATTTTTTGGATGTTTTTTTTTGCGATTCAGTGGATTTTGGTTAATTGGGAGGTTTTCTCACTTGATTGTGTTCAAACTCTCAACGAGAGCACCAAATGATGGACAGCCTACCCGGGGGTATCTTATCCGAGGGGTTATTGCGGGAATAACTAGAGAGAAGTCAGAGCAAAATAGGAGGAGAGAGAGTCGATTTATTAAACGAACTCAGCGTGTAGGAGATGGATGTGGATCGTTTACAAGGAGAAATGGGCTGCTATTTATAGCAGCAATAAATGCGATGAAAGTACACGTGTCAGTAATCCAACGGCCGAAGGGTCACATCAGCCGGGTGGCACCGGCAGTGGTACGTTCACCGCATTGAATGCGGTTGGAGGATGTGACGTGGCATTAAATGCGGTGGTTGGCTGTCTCCAAAGGAATCTTTGATGATTGAGCATGTTTGGCCGAAGGCTCCTCGTGTAGTCGAGGGCTCCATGTGACCAAGGACCCCTGTGTAGCCGAAGGCCTTGTGTGACCGAAGGCTTGGTTCAGCCGAAGGCTTCTCTAATACCGAGGGCTCGATAATGCCGAAGGCTCATGTTTTTCGCCGTTTTCTCCCAGTAGCTTCTTATGCCAGAGAAGGTTATCCTGCGAGTTTTGGAGCCTTCGGCCAAGGAGGCCGAAGGCACCCCAGTATGTATTATGGGTTACTTTGAGGCTTGGGCCGTTGCATTTGGGCCTGAGTTGTTCTCTGGGCTCAACGGACTTGTGTGGGAGAAGTAGTAGTCTATGGGCCGGGGGTTCCTGGGCCATATACTCCATCACTTTCCTTGCATGTTCCTTTGTTCCCGGATCGGATCCTTGAAAATCAGTATTGGTACTCGATCGAGTATAAGGTGTACTCGACCGAGTACAGGTCAAAATCAGGAACTTTCCTTCTTTTTGTCTTGTACTCTTGCACCTTCCTTCACCAATGATCATTTGATTGATCTTGGACCTGTTTAAGCTCAGAATAAACCTAATCTAAACAATTTACAAGAATTTAACAAACTAAACTATTACACCAAAAGTGTGTAATTTCCGAAATATTAAACAACCAAAACTAACTAAAAACGTAAATAAACACATGAAAATTACAAGCGTATCAACTCCCCCACACACAGTCCTTTACTCGGCCTCGAGTAAAGTAAAATGTTTCAAACAGTTTAAGATCATTCCATGAGTTCAAGAAAGAAAGGAACTAAGATCACCAAGAAAAAAAATGATTTTACAAACAACATTCTTTCTTGGGTTTTATGATCTTCTATGCTCCATCTTCTTGCCTCTTCTTCTTCTTCTCTTCTTCTTTTTCTTCTCCTCTTTCTCCCAAGAGATCAAATGAGTTCCTGCACACAACAAATATTTCTCTCATACCTCTCATTTTGCCTAGGAGCCTTTTCAGGTTTTCATCATAGCATCTCTTTTTGTTTTTCCATCCTCACTAACTAACTCATTTTTTTATAAGCCATTTTTGCTTAGATTGCCCATTCTTGGGTTTTCAACCTAACCAACATTTCTTTTCTTTTTCTTTTTCTTTTATATATTTTTTTTGTTTACAAGGAGTAAAAGAAAATTCATGCATAGTGTAGGGTAGAAAATAAAATTACATACCATGAGGAGTCTCCCCCCTTCTCAGTCCAAGCACTGTCCCTAGTGCCCACCTTCGCCGCCATAGTAGCCGCCTCCAAAGCCGCCTCCATAACCTCCGTCGCCCATGTGAGCATCGCCGCCATCTCCGCCATCATAACCTCCACCCCCGGAGCTAGATCCTCCAAAGTGACCCCATTGAGTGGGGTCATACCAAGATGGGGGTGGGGGTGGTTGAGCCATAGTGTGAAAAGATCCGTGATGGGCCATGTAAGAGTACATAGGTCCATAGAACCTACGTTGATCTTCTTCGTACCTGCGGTTGTCTTCGGCCCGTTGCTCTTCAAGTCTTTGAAATCCTGGTTGTTGTTCCTCCCGATACTTACCAACTTCATTGGTCACTTTGTTGAACCCATCAAGTAGTTGTTGGAAGTAATCGGGTGGTGGAGGGACTTGGTTTTGTGGGGGAATGTGGTGAAGTAAAGCCTTGGGTTCATGTTGCTCGGGTTGAGGTTCTTGGTTGGGTTGGTTTTCGGGGGGATTTTGGGCTTGAGGTTCTTGTAGGTGTGGTGGGAGGAGGTGTGGGAACATGTAATGGGGCACATCTCTATTGTAATGGAGTTTGGGGAGGTCCGGGTTAGGCAAGGGGTAATGTCCCACAGGTTTAGGGTGTATGAGCCAATTGTATACATGTCGGGGTTGGTCTTCCCCATACACCGTGTGAGAAAAAGTAGCACATCCCGAGTTGCCCAACCAAGTAATGTTCATCAAACAATAGTCGGGTATAGGAGAATTGTCCGTATACCCAAACTTTGTTGCCAAGTGCATAATCACCCCACCCAATACAATTGTCCCTTTAGCAAAGGTTTCTTTCTTGAGGTCTGCCCACATCAAATTACACAGATTAAAATCCACAGCACGACGGAATAGAACCGTGGTCATCAAACACACATCCCCCATCCTAGTGTGATGGTTGTTGGGGCGCCCAAGTATACAATTAGCCAAAAATTTTAAAAATATCCTTAGAATTGGATGGTGAACATGGCTTATGTATAATTGGGAGGAGCTAAAGTTCACTTCTCCGGTCATTTTGGTCCAAAGTGCATGACCCATCACGGTGTTGTCCGAAATCTCTCTCTCGTAGGGGACGGGAATGCCAAAATGTTCGGCAAACTCAAGTTTCGTTATTGAATATTCTTGGTTTAGCAAACGAAACGAGAGTGTATCATCCCTAAGATCATCCTCGTTGCTCTCAAAACTAGCCGAACTTATGAACTCATAGATAATTCTTTCATTTGAGTTGTATTGCATATTGAAAATACGGTCCATATTCAACTCATGAAAGAATTTTCTAGTGCTCTAAAGAATACCTAAATCACGAAGAGCTTTATGGCAAAGAAAACGGGATGGTTTGACTTGCCTTGAAATTGTGGCGAGAATTCGAGCCCGTTGTTCGGTATCGGTGAAATGAAAGTCCTCGTAGCCCGGGATGGGTGCCATGGCGTTTGATCTTTCTCCCCTATTCTTTCTTGGAGCCATTGTTGGTGTTTTTGAGCTTTGAAAATCCAAAATTCGAAATGGGGGTAGGGTTTGTGGATTTTTTAGAGATTTGGGGAAAAATGGATTTGTGGGTATGAATATGGAGAGGAGAGTGAGGGGAGTATTTTGGTGGTGAAATGGGATGATTTGGTGGAGGAATGAGGGAGATATGGTAGAGAGAAGGTAGAAAAATGGAGTATGGGGGAGTTTAGTTGGGTAGGGTGTTTGGAGAAGATGAAGTGTTTTGGGGTGTGATTTGGGGTTAAATTGCAGGTATACCCGATCGAGTACCCTGCTATACCCGATCGGGTATTGCTCTTTTATCTCGTTTCGAGCCTGGTACTCGATCGGGTCTGGGAAGCAGGGGCTGTGGGAAGCTGTTTTTCCAGTGATACCCGATCGAGTATAGAAGTGTACTCGATCGGGTCTTCAAGACAGGGGTCTGGTAGAGTTGATTTTCCAGACATACTCGACCGAGTATGTAATAGTACTCGATCGAGTATGCCTCCAGCTGCACAAAACCTGCATTTTTTTTCTTTTCTTCTCCAAAAATATGTGGTTAGTTCCCTCTCTCCCTTTTCTCTCAAATTCACACAAAAAAAAATAAAAATCTAACTACCTGACTTGGGTTGCCTCCCAAGAAGCGCCTTATTTAACGTCGTGGCACGACGTTTTATTTATTTTTCGTTTTATGTGCGATCGTGAACATCCCTTCCTTTTTGAACAACATTGTTTGGCTGAGTCTCATTTTTCTTCTTCGGCCTTTTCCAGCAAGGCTGACCTTTCTTTTTTGATCCTAACTCAATTAAAATATTTGGCGTGGGT